CGAGTAGATCAATCCCTATGAAGTTAGACATAACTAAGGTTATGTCCTTTAGTACATCTGTCACGAAGTTAAACAGGAACGGCTACACCAGTCATCTCTGGTGTGGAGACTGCATGAAGTTGTGCATAAACCACTTCAATTAAAAAGAATAGTTCCTTTTCATCGTTTTTTACACATTCTTCCTAATACTTGTAAAAACGAATGTTGTATATATATATATATATATATATATATATATATATATATATATATATATATATATATATATATACTTTTTGATTGTGGCGGTATTTACAGCTTTCGCTGCTGCTAATCGTGGAAATATAGTGTACTTCTAACCATTCTGACTTCTGTCTCCGTGACTATTACCTTTCATGCATACTAACTGATTGTTCTGGGATTTTACAGGACCTCTCATCTTACTTCCAAATATTACGACAATCAAGCCAACCAACGACCACTGCGGAGAGCCAACAAATATCGCCTTCTGATCTCTGGAGTATCCGAAATTGTGGTGGACAATACCAAAGAGATAACCTCTAAGTAACCAGTGATTATCTAAAACATTGACAATACTATTTGCGTTATAACGTATAACTTTTCATACTCCTGTATCATAAAAATCCTTTTTTTTTGTAACTTATACGTAGCTTGTCATTTTCGTTTACTTGACATTCGTTGAGTCCACTACATATTATGACGTCGGGCTCACCAATAATACAGCCAAGTTTATGCTGTCATGACAGTGTTAGTGTAAATACAGGTATTTTATACTGCTCAAGGTGTTTGGTGCACTGCCTGAAATATGTGTATTACAATCCTTGTTTTCCCTGCCTTATTCTGAAGTGAATCCCAGGTTAGAATTATTCAATTTCGGAAACATCACAAGTATTCAGCTTGCATAAGTATCTGCTGAACTCCTGTTTTCAAATTCTTTTGAATCTCGAGTGAATTCAATCCTACTTTGTTAGATGAGGTTCAACTTTGGATCGATATTTGAGGAGAACCGCTACCCATCCTTTTCAACATGGAATCCAAGAAATGATATTCAGAGTTTGATGTAAAACTGCTTGGATGAAAAACTATTAAATCTATCAATTATGGCTTCTAAATAACAATCTGCATCGCATACGATGAGTGTCATCCACATGCCTCCTATATAGGTGGAAATGATGAAACAAAGAGCGCATCAGTGTCCTGTAGATCCGTCACATAGTGATCAGCAGATAGGGAATCTAGTGATGCTTCTGTTTCTATTCTATCTTTTTGCTGTACAAATCGTGGTTAAATTCAACTCAGGACAAATGTATTGACTAGATGCATGTGGCATGTATTCAAGCCTAGTGGGTTTATTGAGGTTTACTATCTCTTTCCTTGATCCATCTGTTTAAACTCGTACTCAACGTGTATCAATCATGAAGTGACTCAAATATACACGGCTTTGGAAACCAACGACAGTCAAACACTTATAAACTTAACATTTTCTACAAAAGACCATGTTTCACAGCCATACATTAAGACATTTAAAGGCTTTATAGTACGCAACAGCATATCATGCAACCATTACAGTTAGAGTGGGTATGTCGACGATACTTTTTATATGCATCGAGAATTCGCCACCATGAATCTCCCTGGGTTGATGTGACTTCACAAATAAAAGTATTCAACATACTCAACTGATTCATTCTTCATTTTGTTATCGACCATCAAGACACGCCAGTCCTGAACATTCTTCATTTGAGAGGTGAAAGACGCACACCAGTTATATTTACATTGCCAATTAAGATGTTCTGGAGATTGAATTTAGTCAGTATTCCTACTAAGCTGGATCACATGTTATAAGTTTTCTAAACGATTAAGGAATATCCCTTGATAGATCCATCAAGTTACAAAACAATTTGATGCTTTCATTAGTACATCTATAGCACAGTCACAGGAGGATGGAAGGAGCGTATGACCTTGGTAAACACCACTTATTGTATGTAGGTTATAGTCATAAATCTTGAAGCAGAATATTTTGATCCGAAGCCTTTTACACCTGGGCTGTTACAACAGCACCAGCGGTGAAACGGACTAGTATATGTCCTTGACCTACACTGAGTGATAGAAAATCTCCTTCCCCATAAATCTAGTGAATAGCCATACTGGGAAATTGTGTTCCATACGTTTCCGTAAACTGAGATATGAGGTTTTGAGAGACGGCGGCTGAAGATAGCATGAACCAAGTGGTGAAAGGAGCTGAAGAAAATTCAAGAAAGTAGGAGATGGACAAGAAACGTATGGATGACACTATAAGAAACTACATTTTACTGAGGTGCTTGGAAATGGTGGATTAGCATTGAATGTGCAGATATTACTGTGTGACTGAGCCATATTATTTAGAACCCATTGACTGAGCCATTTCAGAAATAGTTTGTCTCGCTTCCAAGGGTCAAAAGAAGCAGCAGCAACATTGAAAGTTCATCAAAAGAATGTGATGAGTAGATGACTTGTATAACTTACTCTAACAATATAAAGGTACCATCGTTACAGATTTCGATTTTTTGTTGTTGAAATTTATACTGCATCACATTACAACCTTGTTCTCCGAAATAAAATTATCTTCAAGCTGGAATCAAACGCGTTAGATTCTTACTCATATGGTTTAATGCTTTTTATGCTATACTGAGTGATCCAAGTAAAGGTATCACCTAACATTTCAGAAGAGTCTGAAAAGGTTGTTCGTAACCTTGCGACAGTATACAGTTAACTTAGTTATCGTAATTTTACCTCAGAGCATGAAATCAGCGCTATTGTACGCTAATTACGTGTTACTACACTTTTTGAAGTTCGATAAGCACACGATTCTTGTTATTTTAGTTTACGTGAGGTTGTAACAGTTAATATGAAATCCCCAGTAGTAAATTACGTTTTGTAGGTGGTTCATTATTTATGTTATAACGGGTAACGCATACGACTTTTATTCAGTTACACTCATTAGCTCTCAGAAATTAACACAAGAGGCTATCAGAATTGAGCTTTACGTCGATTTCGAACTCACTCATAGAACTATAGTACCAGTTGAAGAAATCATATTAGATGTACAGTTATGTCTGACTTTTAATTCCATTACAAAATATACAAATAAGTAGGAGCAACAATGAGATCACCAATGTCCGTCATAGTATCAGACATTTTTACTGATGGATAATTGGATACGCAAAGTTAGATACTACGGTCTACAGAAAACCCACACATCCTGACAGGTATTCAGTTTACTCAAAATCAGTTAAAGTGGGCTTAGTGAAATGTCTAGGTAACTCGAGTTAGAAATCTGATTGGTGAACCAAATGACCTAAATGGGGGAATGAACTACCGCTGAAGAAAAAGTTTTGAGTCTTTCCAGAGGTTTATAAGAAGTAATAAAACTAGGAGGGATCAAAGGGTTTGATAGAGTTGCCATACAAATGAACGGTAGAATATATTCGTAGAATTCTTGACAGGGAGGCATAAAAACGGAACTCGTGGCTTAGGGAGAAACTTTTTCGGCTTGAAGGTCCTACTGATTCAATTAGACGAAATGATTTAACGGGTCAAATACTAAGCAATAACTGTGAAGTATAGCATATAGGTAAGACGAGCCAATTAGGTTCAGTCAGGTTGGTATAGCACAGTAACTCAGTTACATTTAGAATTTTTGACACTAATCAGATAAGAAATTTTGAAAAAGAACTCGATTTCTATTCATATGATGAATCAAAATGGGGATGGATAGAGTAACAATCCTAAAGGGTAATATAGTTGGGTGGACAGACAAATCAATGATCGGATATTTGTCAACCAGCTTAACACCCATTCCAGATACTTGGAAAATCTTACTATCGTTGAAATAAACGGACGACAAGCGGTAGTCGTGACCACAATGATATGATTATGAGCAACAGAGTGTGCTCAGAACTTTATTCAGTAAATAATGTATCAGTGTGCCAAATCAAATCAAATAATCTCTAGGGAGTGATATTATCTCCTGACATCGATTTCCTATTTTGCCGTGGGTAAAACATTTATCCCACACGTTGCTGCTCATCCAAAGAACAGCTATCTCTAGGTTATCTATTTTTTCCCTCTAGTGATTTACACCTGGTGACTCCACCATAAGGCTTAGTAACTACCTGGTTACCTGTGCAAAGGTAAAGAGAGTGAAGAATTATTATTATTTTATTGATATACTTGTAATTCTCCGTTGTTTTATTGGATCGGATTGTTCGACCTCTATTAGCATATGGGCTCCTATGTGAATGCCTCGATATTGCCTAAATGTTAATCATGGTAATTTGCTTCGTGTCGTTAGCAGAAGAATCCAGGACGAGAGGTTGAAGAATCCAGTTTAATAAAACAACGTAGAATTACAAGTATATCAATAAAATAGTAATAACTAATACCAGTTGTACAAGAAGTGGCTATCGTGCCTCCGCGGTACAGTGGATAATGCTTCGATGTTTGGAGTGATAGGTACTAGGCTCGAGTTTCAGTGGGGAAGCATCACTCACTGGGGTGCAGGTATATCCAGATGACGAGTGCCGAATAGGACAGGACACGCGTCCTAGATTCTTCTGCTAGCCACCATTTCCCGAAATATAACAACTTTCAAGTTTATGTTGTACCTTGAAATTTGAAATATCTGATGATAAATGAAAACTTTGAGTGTATCTGTTAAGAAAGTTATTGAAACGATCCAACAGGATTTCATACAATATTATTACTGTTGTGATGCCCGTGGTAGCTCACTGGGTTAAGTAATAGACTTTTAAGCAATGAGCTTCAAGATAGAATCATAATCCACGTTCTTCGACCTGGGCAACCAGGTAATATCACCAACTCTCACATGTGTGGCTCACAGTACAGTACATGATAAAGTCTCCTGTTGAGTTGCATGACCTGGCTGAGGCTATAATTATTCCTATATTTGACCCTTTAAGTACAAGAGATTAACTGAGAATAAACTGACAAAATAGATTTTTAAATTTTGATTCATGATGCTGCACTTTATATTAGCTTATTCACGGTTATGAATGGCGAAATAGAATAAGATGTCGGTAACCCACTCAGAAAACTTCACAAATCCTTCCCACCATAAACAATCTTTATTCGAATATATAAGATTCTGTGGAAAAATACACCATTATGAATTAGCAAAGAGTGATAAGTCACAAGAAACAAATACATTAGATCAAATGCAAGAGGCCTAAAATAAAAGCAAAATACAAAGAGGACATGTACAAATGATTGTCACTTAAGCAGTAACTTTCTTTTTTTTTCCGTTTCCAGCAGTTTCTAAAGTTGAGTCAGGAGCAGTTCCACTAGCTGCTGCAGTTGATTTCCGCTTCTGGACAGATGTCGTAGAGGTGGTAGCCGGTCCGGAATTTGCAGAGGGATTAGGAGATGAAATATTCGCACCAGTCCCCCCACGCTGTTTTGTTCGGTCCTCTAAGTCAGATATTTCTCTCTCAATCAAGGTAATAAGCGTACTGCAACGTCTCTGTAGCTCCTGAAGTATTAAAATAGAAAGATGTTAATAAGTATCACGGTTTGAATGTAAATGATGAGATATGTTATATCATGAAATAATCCATTTGAAACAGTTATTGAATACGCCTCAACACATATGCAACTAAATACAATTGAAGATTAGTAGTAAGTGGTAATAAAATGAAAACAATATTTTACTTTGCTTACCATTGCCGTACGGGATCTTAAAAACCAATCAAACCGGAACTGTGGAGCCAGACGAACCGCAAGACGCAGGTCATCGTACACATTGTCTCGATCAAAACCAAGTTTATGAAGCATACATATAAGAAAACGGTCTTCCTCTTCAACGTAATTTTTCCCCTTATTTGTTCCATACTGTATACGAAGTTGGTGAAAAGGAGCTCTATAACGAGCCATCTTCAAATCAAGTGCTCTTTTTACTGCAGCCCTTCGTTGAATTTTAGCTTCACCACGTTCGATCTGATAGAGGAAATGGAAATAGAAGTAACACACTGATGAGTATTAAAGTAAAATAGTACAGCACATCGCATGCTCACATATTTCTGTGATACGAGTCGCAATGCACCCAGCAACCACGTGTGCGTTTGTGCAGTAGGCAATGAGACATGTCTATTGTGTAGGGGGCTTATGATAATACGACCTAGCTGCCTAAACCTCGGTTAGTGGAGAGGGGATTGGATCCGTGACCTACTAGCTGATACTTAATTGCCTAGATCAGTGAGCCACAGCTCCACACCTAAACAGGCAGATCAAGAAATACAGAAGCTGTTATAGCGTTATAAAAATGTATTCTGGTCAACCATATTCATGAACAGCAAGTTCAGTGAGTTTAAAATGTGATCCACTTTTTTATTTGGCAAAATGAATCTTTTGGAAAAGTGTTGCTATTAAGTTTTATTGGCTATTATAAAATTTAGTACACCGGAAAGAGCTTTGAATGGAAATAAATTCAAACAGAAAGAAGTATAAACAAAAAAGGTAGGAGTGCATCCATTAATGTTTTGACACTGCTCTATAGTAAAGGAGGATATTCAGTTGAACAATTTGAAGGATTTAGATAGATAGAGAAATCGTGACAATGTTCAAGTCTTACAAGAAAAACAAACATAATGAACGTAGTATCCTGCAAAGAAGTGCATCACTTCAAGTTGCTACACTTAACAGCAGTAGATTGAAGAAGAGTGATATCAAAGAAGACAGAAGTGTAGGGAGAGTTCTAAGAGATGAAGGTTAGTGAAAGATCTTCAAACTTCCTGAGAGGTCAAAGATTGAATTTATCTGCGCCATGGTGATCGGTTTTCAGCCATATCACTAAAAATCTCCAACCATTGATTCCCATTATCTTGATGACCCCAGTCAGATAGTCTTCACCCTCCTAAAGACTCAGATCAACAGTCAAAGACTTTATGGATTGGTTGCTCAGCATGTTTCCAAGCCATTCCTACTTCAGTTGACTTTGCACGTAGAGATGGGCGGTGGTTTGGCTTTTAGCAAAATAAAAAGTGAATGCCTAAGTATTACTATGACAGACTTTTGTTTTTCATACATAATACCTGAACAATGATTTCTATCGTCTCATGAATCAGAAATGGAAAACGTTTACACTTTAACTTTCCCGTTTGAATGAATAGTGTCTAGTTCAGTAGAATAAGGTTTTTCGGCCAGGCCACCGTTAGTGTTATTATCACTAACTTCTATCCCGACCACCATATCACATTCAAGTGAATGACAGTGATCTGTAGTATTATAACTATTTGTAGTTCTTATCTTCTAAAGTTACTCATATAACCCAGATAATTCGGTCAAAAGAGGTTCATATGGGTTATGTAAAAAAGCTTGTTCAATACTGCTTTCACAGTCAGACGTTGAAACAGAAACTCTCGATAGATAAAGCCATGGACTTCCTTCATATCAAGAAATATAGCAAGTGTTGGGTGACAGCGAGTACGCGTGTGTTTCAAAAATTGTCGAGGGGGAAAAGCTGATTAATGCACCTTCATTCAGGTCGGTAAATTACCTCATTCTTTCATGTTTCCTGTCCTCATGGTTCAGTTGAGCATCCGATGACTATGAAACCAAAGGATTTTGAACACGATGTCTCATGAAGACCTCTTTTCTCCTATAAATTGGAACGATGAACAATCTGCACCAGTTTGATATGACTACATCTCATTTTCATACATTAGCTAGAAACTTGGAAACTTTAATTAAAAATTACCCACCTCCATCTTCTAAGACGTCAAGTCAATACTTCGTTGCTTCGTATTAGGTTGGAACAACCCTATCAACTCTGGGGACATTTGGAAGATTGACACCATCCTATTTAGTTTGAGGCTGAACACTAGCAAGTGAAGCATCGTTGTAGAACGATTGAACTTTACTTCAAAGTAGTCCGCTCAAAGTTCCAGCCACCTACCTTGAGAGGGGGTCAGGGACCCGTCACCTTCGGCGATATTTTCATAAAATAACACTTTTGTGTCAGTATTCTTGATAAGCTTAGTTTGTTGCCATGTATATATATATATATATATATATATATATATATATATATATATATATATATATATATATATATAAAATCACCGTAGAACCTCAAGCAACATTGTGCGGTGAAGAAGACAGGCATGCGTAAAACATGCCCCAGCAACCTGAGTCAATAAAAGTTAGCAATTTCATCAAATGACCTTCCTACCTTTTCCTAAAACTCTATACCTGACTTTAACGTTATTTACATGGTGACAACACAAAACATGACTTATGCTACAAAGGCACCGTTAGTCGAACACCTGAAACCTTCTCATGTCTTACAACAGTTGATCGTCCCTTTCAGAAGCAGCAGAATAGAGAGGACTGCAGTGTAGCTATCTTCTCCCCAAGAACATCAGACGTGAAAACAAATGAAATAGGAATAGAATGGAAAACATTAAATCTACTTTCCAATAAGAAATGTTTAGGTGACCCAGATATATGCCGTACAGTTAGACGTTTACTAATACTGTTAGAGCTCAGCGAATACTATAAGGTCACAAAACGGTATCCATTCCCAATCAAATTTACTGGACCACGATCAAAGACATAAGGGATTGATGCACAGTTATGAATTCGATATTATTTGATACCTTACTTAGCAATATTCATACAACTATTAAATGCATTTGCTTAGAGAAAAATACATATGACCAAACCAAATTAGCAATTTCATCAAAAATAACTATTTCATTCACAAGTATGAAAACGAGTACAAATTCAGGGTTACCTGTGCCATATGCTTGTCAACATCTTGCAACTCATTACATCTTGTCCAGAACACACGAGCGTACCGCTTGACTTCATCAGGAGTTTTACCCTCAACATCAAGAGAAATTGCTTCTAAATCATCGCGACCATGTTTCTCATTGGCCTTGATGAATTGTTGAAAATCACGTTTTGACCAGTTTGTGAAACCCTAGAAAAGAAATCATAAGAATTTCGGAAGTAGAGAAAACAATGGATATGGCTTTTATAAAGACAGTGAAATTATGGTATTATTTCACCTGTGTTAAAAGTTCTTCCTTTTCTGCAATTTCTTCCTCCGTTAGTGGCTCAGCTTCATCTATCCTGGCTTGTTCTTCTAAGCGATCACGCTCACCGTTTGGCCCAGAATCTAGGTTACGAGGAACTTTATATCCAATGCTTTTTCTGGAAGCAAAATAAGATAGCGCATAGTTAAATTTAATGCAACGTCGGCTCAAAATATCTTGCTTCAGACTGTCAATGATTGCCTGCAAACGAAAAAATGATAAACCATGAAGACACATGAAACTTGCCCGTATCTTTAATAAGCCTAAATAGTTTCCGCGTAATACATAATGCTGATGCCTTTTCCATCTCTTTCGCTTTCGTCAGCCACCACTACTCTCTACCGTTACCAAGACTCTTGGTCAATTTATGCTTGAATTTCTTTCGCTCTTCACTGTGGTTGGAGTCAGCTGGAATCGATCTTCTCGCATCAATCAGCTCGAATGAGTTTGTGCAAATCTACCTGCGTTTACTAACCTGTTTTTACCACTGCTTCTACAACAACCCTAATATCACGCCAGGTTTCCTCACGATGAGCATTGCTGCCACCCGCAGATAACTGTATAGCTATCTGGCCTCAAATACGTACATATCTTCCAATCCAGTAAGCATGGGTTTCACCGTTGCCTGTTTTAGGCGACCAGTAGGATGCAGACGTTCACGTGCCAGTACTAGCGCGTGATCCAACTCCAGATTGGTGATCCAAAAAGAGCGGCAACCCTCCATCTATTCTCCTCGACAATGGCTCACAGCAACAAGATCTATATGTGTGCTTCGTTGGCTCAATGTCAGCCGATGAAATGTGAGACAGTATATCTCACTGTGTTTGAAGTCACAGATTGCCAGAAGCAAATCCGAGAAGGCGATCACCATAGTCGGTACGTTGCCATGGTGTCCCGCAAATACCTCAAAGATACCTTTCTTATTGGCTCAGCTTCTCTACTTGAGAGTCAGATTCCCCTGATAATTATGGCCACGCCTGAAAGTTTTGCTTTATGTAGTAAGATTGACTGCCTTTGATAGGATTAATCTTTAGTGTCAGCCGAACTGCATAAGCGAAGATTACGAATAAAAACCGGTTGTTGGTTGGCATCCAGTCAGGTACATTTTTTTCCTGCGGTTTTATTCCTTTACTTACAATAGGGGGTATAGAAGAATTCGGATACTCCTAAAGTGAATTTTGAACATCATCATCTTCAAAATCAACGAACAGCCCTCCATATTTGCGTAACGGTCCGAGTTACCACACCTCATATCATTACAAGTAAAAAGGCAGTGAAGTGCAAGATGAACAAAATAAAACTCAGTCAAAAGAAATATAAAGTACGAAAAGAGAGAAATGAAGAATGAGAAAATGGTGAGATTCAGCATAGCGTCGTTAAGATGAGGATAGTGTATGTATACATCTGCGCCACTGACATCGGTTCTGAGCCATATCACCCAGAGTCTCCAACCACTGATTCCTCTTGTCCCGCGAACCCCGGCCGCCTAGTCTGCATCTCCCCACATAACTCAAACCAACAGTCAAAGACTTCATACATTCTTGCCATGTTTTAGTCTGGCCACCTCGAGCCTTTTTCCAACCTGAACCTACTTCGCCCAACATTGTGTGACGAGATAGACGGCAACTAGACATAAGTAACACGTATCCCAACCATCCTTGTCGATGAAGGTTCACGACCATGTCAACTGATTCACCTCTTCTCCCCACAACTCTACACCTAACTTCTGCATCATTCACCTGGTGACACCACGCAATAAGGCCTATACTTCGGAGGCACAATGTACTCAAACATCTGAAGCCTTCTCATGTCCTTCGCCCTCAATTGCCATGCTTCACAGCCACACAGCACAACAGACTGGACTGATGTGTAGTACACACGGCCCTTAGTAGACAATCGGATATCACGGTGGCGCCACAGGTGGCGTGAGATGGCAAAATCCAGTCAAGCCTTTTGTATTCGTGCAGAAATTTCGTCGGCCACTGAGCCACCAGGGCAGGGCTGATCCCACTTCCCAGGTAAGTGAAGTGGTCGACACACTCAACCACTACACTATTCTTAGCCGAGGCACTGTTGAAGACCAATCCTGGAGCAACAATTTGCTTTTGGGTGGTGAAAAACGCATCCCAAACATTCTCAAATCACCATTCAAAGTGTTCAGACAACTCTGCATCTTGCCAGTGTCTTCACCTAACAGGACTATGTCACCTGCGTATTCTAGGTCTAACTAAAATTCTCCTGCGATTAGGTCAATCTCTGTGTAGTCAGCTGATCAGAGGGAGACCTGCATAAGAATACCTATGATAAAATTGAATAAGAATGGAGATAGTGGGCACCCTTGACGGACACCACTCGAGGAGCACAGTTCACCCGGACATCTCACCACAGGCTCTACCATGTCCACAAGTGTTCGAGTTGAGAGTCTTCAATAAAATGATGTACTTACTCGTCACGCCTATCAGTGAGAGACATTGCCATAAGACTTCTCGATCAGTGGAGTCGAATGCCGTCACCTTCAGGTCAAGAAACACAGCTAGTGTCAGGCGTCGGTAAGCCCGCCTGTGTTCCAGAGCCTGGCGCAGTGTGAATATTTCGTCAATACACCTGTGGCCGGGTCTAAGGCCTGCCTGGTTTGCTCAGACTTGCTGTTCCCGAGCTCCACTCAGGCGTCGAAGAATTATGGAACCTAGAATCTTAGACACTATGCTCGTCAGGCTGATTCCTCTGTGGTTATCACAAGAGGACTCCTCGCTTTTCTTGAAGACTGAGATGATCAGTGATTTAGACCAGTCGGAGAGGATCGTATTTGACTCCCATATACTGGTTAACACTGCCGTTAACATGATTAAGAGCGCCTACCTTACCACCATCGTTGCATACCTCAGGAGTTAGTCCATCTGGTCCTGCCGCCCTTCCTCGTTCCAAGTTACCTACTGCTTTCTCGACTTCTGCAAGTGTTGGAGGGTCTGTTTCAATATTCCATTCAGTATCCGACTGAATAGCGGGCAATGCAATGGTGGTTGGAGTCCAGTTAAACTGTTCCTCGAAGTGTTCTGCCCATCGTTCCAGTCGTCTCCCATACAAGTGGACCACAGATCCGTCCTCCTCCGCTATAGCCTCACTAACCGTTGTTGACCTTTTCCCCCCAGTTTCCTTAATAAGTCTAAATAACTGATGGTTCCCTACAATGGTCAGGTTAGATCAAATTAATAACGACACATGTCTGATATGTATAGTGGAATCCAGGATGCGCATTTCGTCCTATTTGAGACTCGTCAGATAGATATATCTGCCTCTCAGTTAGTGATGTTGTTCCCACCGGGATTCGAACTCTGGACGGTGTAATAAAGGCAATAATATTAAAACCATACGGGTCTCACAAGTGGTTATCGTGGCTCGGTGGTCTAGTGGGTAATGCTCTGGCGTTTGAAGCAATCGGTCCCGAGTTCGAATCCCGAAGGGAAAACATCACCCGCTTGGAGGCAGGTACATCCACCTGACCAGTTCTGGATCCTACTTTTAGCCACTATCCATCATCACTACATACATATATCTGTTGTTCGAGATTTTAGAATTCTGGCAAGTGAAGTCTGCTATTTGATTTAGGATAGAATTCGAACGTTGAAATCGCCAAAATGAAGTCAACAACATGGTCTCAAGAAACTAAGAATAAGATCTCAACGGCTTTGATCGTTAGCGATGGTTGCAGAGTGAGGTTGTAAGAAGCTTAACATTGTTACCAGGATATGAAGGTTAAGGAGCCAGAGGTAAGGAGGGTCGATTATGTCTGATAGGATTTATATACCTTTGGAAGCGTGCATGCGGTTGACACTTCCCAACTTCCGGCACTGTGGGAGTTGTTTCTCCAGGGCACCTAAAGGCGGAAAGGATTTGTGTGACCACAGAACTCATAGGACATCTGCTTGAGGTCTGTCACATAGTCATAAGGATTGTTGGTATACGATTTGCTTGTTTTAGCGCCGGATAGGAGAAACCCATGCTTCCGACACCAGAAGATTGTGGGGGGCAGGGAGGAATGTACTACTTTGAGGGGCAAGGTTTCTTAACTTCTTTTCATTGGGAAGGCAGCATCAGTGTGGTACGGCCGGTCAACCAGGGGAAATACCGTACTTTTGTCACACCCCATCCAGCCAGTGTTATGACTTCGCCCCCAGACACCATCATACTGCAGTAATTCACACTATAACGGTAACTGCTTTCATCTTGTCAATACCCTACAGACCTTTGTGACATGATAGGACCTTGACGGAACCAGCGTTACACCAGTATAGCTGGTTAGATAATTGTGACATACAAACTCGACCACCATGTCAAGACAGCAGCTATCGGTTGGGTACGTAACATGCCCAGTTGGTTGATGAATAAATGTATCCCTGTTCATCTAATGTTGACTTCTGCCAGTAGCTGTGCAATAGTCATTCAGTATTGCTTCTTACTTTTGTCTTATATTGAATTCTGCGCAAACCACTCACACCGCTGATGTCGAACATTCGACTTCGTTAAATCTTAGGAATACTGGGCTCCGATTTGACTATACGTACTTATCAAATTGAGTGTCCTCAGAACTCTATCTGTTTCTTTTTTGGGAGTAAGTAGGATTTACAAAACAGACCAGAACTTCCGTTGCATGTTTTCACCTTCATATCTGTTTTATAAATTGTATCAATTATGAGTAAATGTTTCCCAGCGAATTTTTTCACTTTACTCTGATCGGTTACTTTTCTTATCTGCTAGTAATTTATTGGGTAAAGGTGTGGGCGGAATAAAAGCATATTGAATTTGTCTTTTTCCAGTCTCTGCTGATTATATCTCGTACGTTGTTAGTTATTATGTCAACTGGAATGTAAGTGTACAGATTCGTGTGAGTTACTGAAAACTGAACCACTGTTATGAAAAAGATAGTATTTCGACTCTACTTTTCTCGGGTGCGTCTATTTAGGTGAAACTAACAAATACAGCAAAAAAATTACTACACAATCATTATTTTATATCGTCAATCGGACTTCAGAACGTGGAACAAAGTCTTCAAGAATTAGTTCTTGGGTCAGAGTAAATGATCATGTATAAATAGCTAAAAAACAAACTGTAAATAAAAGCTTCAGAACATGAAGCTGCTTCAAGAAAGCCCCTGTTGTATGAGGAACAAGACAGATGATGTAGTATAATAGAATACTTGAATGGAAATGGTATTCAGAAATAACAAACTAGAAATTCTAATTTAAGAAATATAGAGCATGCCTGCAATGTTAGTCGTAAACAATGGGAAAACGTCAAAATGTTTGAATAACTAACATTAGTTTCCCTCAAACATTTTCTTCAAAAAACAGGAAAGAAGCGCATAAGATATATGACAAAGTTTAAAAGATGGAGGTATTTTTAGTTTAGGATGAGAATACGAGTGGCTTGGTGCTATCTCAGCTTTGAAATTCGTTGTGGACGTTTCATCACCGAGTTAGATAACATCCTGAGCATTATTACTTGCGCGAGGTGGGGTATGTGATGTTCAGTAGTGACTTATAAAAAGGAACCTACTATGCTGTAGAACCTCGCCAAGGTAACCGGTTCACTAGTTACTAGCCGGTCCCTAAGCCCGGATAAAGAGGGAAGGTTGGGCATAGGGCTAGGCAACCCTATCCGGTAAAACCAATCTACCACTAAAGAAACTTTAAGGCACAACGAAAATATAAAACAAAACGAAACTCAATCTTCTCTAAAATCGGAGAGGCGAAATGATGCCGGTTGGTGAATGCCTTCGGAAGCTAATTGGCCGATGTGTCTTCTCTCGATGAAAGCGAAAGTAAGAATGGGGAAATGGAATGTCCGAACAATGTTTGAAGCTGGCTGGCAAGGCTGCCCAGATTCCAAAAGAAATAAGAAGGTATGGCATAGAAGTGCTAGGAATCTGCGAAAGTAGATGGGATGGAAGTAAAGTCTCCAAACTCTTAACTGGAAAGTCAATAATCTACTCCGATTTTGTTACTCATATGACAGTCACGAGCACACTGAGTTATGGAGCGGCTTTCATGACATCCCCATCAGCATCGAAGGCTCTCTCTCATGCAGTGTGAACCAATCTCCTCATGCAGGATCATGACAGCAAGATGGATTCAACTCAAAGGCAAGGAAGGTCACAATCATACAATGCTACACTATGCACCTACAATTAAAGCAGATCAAGAGGAAGAGGAATTCTATAGACAACTGCAATCAGTACTTGACAAGACTCCAGTTGGCGACATGAAAAATCTAATGGCTGGGGTGACATGAATGCCAAGCTGGGAGCAGACAACACAGGAAGAGAAGTCATCATGGGTTGAGAAGCACTCGGTGAAATGAACGAGAATGGAGAACTGTTTGCAAACTTCTGCGCATTAAACGATTTGGTGGTTTGTGGCAGTGTGTACAAGCACAAAGATATTCACAAGTCAGTGACATGGATTTGATTTCACCAGATGCATACACTAAAAATCAGATTGACTTCAACTCAACATGAAGCAAGTGGAGATGCAGCCTACTGGACATAAGATCAAGAAGTGGAGCAGATGTAGGTGGTTCACACTACTCACTATCTAGTGCAAGGAACCTAACTTCAAAATCAAGTTGAAAGCCATCACAGAAGTTGGTGATAGACCACAGTTGAAGTTCAACACCCAGAACAGAAAATGAACTGAAGGACGGAACTGCAAACGACATCTTCACACCAGTTAGCCATCAAGACAAAATGGGAGACATTGAACAACATCACTGAAGAAACCTGTGTGGAAGAACACTGGAACTCTTTGAAAGAGATGTGGAAGGAAACCTACATAATCGTATTAGGAAGGAAAAAGAAACAAGAGAGGACAAGGAATGGATTTCGACGGACACCTGGAAGGTGATACAGCAGAGAGAGGAGGATGGTGAAGCAGAAGATAAACCGGTGCTAGGATGTACAACGAGAAGAGGAACTGAGTACAACGTATAAAACACTGGACAAAGAAGTGAAGAGAGCGCTCAAAGACAAAGACATTTCTGTGGCACACTGGCAAATGAAGCAGAACAGGCTGCAGGTAGGAGAGACAGAGACCCGATAACACTATATCAAATAACCAGGTTACTATCTGGCAAGAGATCAACGCAGACGAAACCAATGAAAGATAGTGAAGGAAACCTAGTTATCAAAGAGGACAAACAAAGGAATCAGTGGGCTTACCTATTCAAAAAACTCTTGAATTGACCACACCACCTGCAATTCGTTCAGAAATACCACCAGCAACCGCAGAATTACCAGTGAACACAAGATCTTCGAAAAAAGCAGAAGTGAAGTCTTGAACGCCATACAACTGCTGAAATCCAGGAAAGCAAGACCAGATGAAATTCCTCCATAAGCACTGAAAACAGACGCAGCGACATCAGTGAACATGCTCACACCGCTACTGCAGAAAGTTTGGAAGAAAGGAAAGGTACCTGCCCATTGATTGGAAGAGGGGCTACCTTGTCAAACTCCCAAAGAAGGAAGACCTAAGTCTTTGCAAGAACTGGTGGGGAATCATGCTCCCGTCCATTCCAAGCAAAATATTATGCCGCACCATCCTGGAGGGACTAAAAGACGCCCTGGATTCAAGATTACGACCGGAACAGGCTGGCTGGCTTCAGGAAGTACAAATCATGTGCGGACCAAATTCCAACGCTACGCTACGTGTCATCATAGAACAGAGCATAGAATGGCAATCAACTCTCCACCTCAACTTCATCGACTTCGAAAAGGCCTTCGATTGAGGCGTCGACTGAGAAGTAATTTGACAGTTGCTTCAACACTACGGAATGCCACAAATCTTTATCAATCTCATTCAACAGCTATATGACAACGCCACATTCCAAGTGATTCACAATGGGAAGCTACTTAGTGACGCCTTTGAAGTGTAGACAGAAGTAAGACAAGGCTCCCTACTATCACCGATGATCTTCCTGATGGTGGTCGACTAGATCATGCAGCAACTTGTGAGGAGCTGTGAGAAGATGGGCATACGCTGTTTGACAGATGAAAAGACCCTAGAAGATTTGGATTTCGTTGATGACGATTTATGCCTAACGTCTTGTCGCACAAACTCGATGATCTATAGGCAAAACCCAACAAGTTGACAGAAGAGGCAGCGAAGACGGGACTTCAGGTGAATATAGAGAAGACAGAGGTGATGAAGATACACAACCAACAACAACAAGCACCAATCACCTTAAACAGGAGAAACCTAAAGAAAGTAGTCTCTTTCACCTACCCACGTAGCTAGGCAGCATCGTTTCAACTACAGGCGGCAGCACAGATGAGAACGTCAAAGCCAGGATTGGAAAAGCAAGACAGGCCTTCATTAACCTGAAATCAGTGTGGAGATCTACTGCACTGCACTCAGCATAAAGCGTGAACAAGATCCGGATTTTCAACACCAACATCAAGTCAGTGCTTCTGTGTGATGGTTAAGAAACTTGGCGCGTTACGAAAAGCATTTCCAACAAACTACAGACATTCATCAACAGCTGCCGCCTACGCTCTATACTGAAGATCAGAGGGCCAGAAAAAATGGGCAACAAGGAACTCTGGCTAGCTGGCAACGAACCAACCAAGAACCCATCGCCCAAGAAATATGCAGAAGAAAGTCGAGATGGATTTGGCACACACTGAGAAGACCGATTGGGGACATCACGCGCCAGGCCAGGTCCTGAAGTGGAACCCAAAGGGGAAACGACGAGTTGGGCGTCCGAGGGTGACATGGAGGAAATCGTGTGAGGAAAAAATGAAAGCTTCTGGGGAGTCGTGGGAACCAGGTTGAAAAGACTGCAAAGAACAGAGTGAAATGTTGACATGCTACTGAGCCCCTATGTTCTACTAGGAACCCAAGGGACAAATAATAATAATGATAATAATAGTAATAATAATAATAACAATATGCTGTAGAGTCTATGTATTTCACATCATTCAGTGGGTATTGCGACATCTGAGAAACGAAGTGGTATCAATCCCTGAAACCTCAAGCTGTTGACCAAGTAAGACAAATACGAAGGTTGTCCACCCAAAAAGGTTTCAAGATCTATCAGTCATACTAGTTGAAAGATTACTTAGATTTGGATCTCAGAATTAATCACGGATTATTTGGTAGCATAACTCTTTGCACTTTGTGAAAATTAGCAATCTAGTTAGAATGCCCAGACAAAAATCAAGCACAGAGAAGTAACGAGCACTTGGTGGCATGTAGTGTAGAACACCAGTTTAAACTATACTACTTTTAATGCTCTTCACTTTTAGTGTGGGCTAAATAAATTCACTCTTAAAGTAAAACTAAGTACACTTGGAACCATCAAAACCGTTGGAGATACCAATGAAGACAGAATAAACAAACCTGAAAGCATATATTTCTTTATCCAAAAGTTCAAATAGTCTAGGTGGGAAGAACTGGAAATCTTGAACATTTGGCTGTTTCGGTGGTCTGGGTGGTTTCGGTGCTTTAGGTTCAGAAACACGAAGAGCTTCACGAAAGTATGCATCAACCGCATAGTTAGCTTTACGTTCACGTTTTGGAGGTTCTATCCAACCCTAAGAAAGACAGAAACATAAATGATGAATAGCAACAATTAAACCGAAAGGATAATCACAGAAACATAAGATTACTATATATATCCTAGTTGACAGTGCATCAAAAAGGAAAGTATCTAAATAATAAATAAATACTGCGACATGAAATTATTGGAAGAATGACTTACTTCTAACAAGGAAGTGCGACTCTGCTTCTCTCGATAATCTTCACCTTCAAATATATAGGCAGATGTTGGTACACCATTTTCATCTGCTGTGTCAAACTTTAAGGACCGCAAATTCGATTCCCCTAACTGCGCTAGTTTTTCATTCATTTCAGCAGTCTTTTGTTCACCCCGAGCCAAAATAATATCGATATCTTCATCCTTTAGATCACTATCTTTGCTACGGAAAATGTAGTTGGCACCATGTTTTATCATTTCCAAAACATCATCCTTCTGAAGTTGATTTGACTTCTGTTCCATAAGACGACCTAAAAATGTATGAATTTGAAACAGAAAGAAGTTGAAGGACTTAAGAAAACTTATTTTTCTAACATATTACGCAATTTATAAATGAACCGTTGAAAAATTTATTTGTAACTGCTAAGTAGGTTTCCCTTTTACCTCAAACACTACTAACATATCCTTTAACTTGTTCTTGCCATAAAAGTATCACCATATCAGGTATACCTGCTTATTTGATATCTTGTGCTGCGTAGGAAAATCATAGGGAAAGCAGGAAAATCAGCAAAAACAAATCTGAGAAAACAGTGGATAGTTAAGAGAAAGGGCTCCATTCAGAAGTCGCAGAAAACAACTTCGCTGAACTACTCGTTGTTTTGCTACATGTCGCCACAGAGATTTTATGCACATTGAAAAACAGATTTGACAAGCTCGAATATCCTTTTGACTTCATTTTTGTATATTGGTGGTTGTAATGTAGATTACATCTACGGGAGCGTCACAAGGAACTGAATGAAGGCGACTGGAAACGAACAAAGAGGTTTTATAATTCTTCTAATATAATGTACGAGGAATTATTTTCATTTCCCAATGAATTCATTCATCAAGAAATACAAATACCTACTTTATAATACTCTTCGACTGAGTTTGTCGTAAAATCACTTTGCTACATAACTCGTTGAAGTAGGTAGAATTCCAAGTTCAATAAAAATTACGTCAACCTATAACGCTATTGACACTCAAGTATTAAGGCTTCTTCACAACAACTAGAGTGTATTGGATTCTCAGATGATTGTATTCCAGAATTTAAATTGAAACATCTCATTTTAACAGTGGGAACAACCATGCACAGTTCCGATTATTGCAGTCAGTGACTGTAGATAACTTTTTTCGTTTATGATAAAAAAGTTGCTTATATCACACAAAAATGATAGCATTATGCAGGGCAGAGATAGAATTGATATATTGAATTACCTTGTTGAATAACCAAGTTATCCAATTTCAGCTTCATTTCTGCGCGCATAATAATACGTTCTTCAACTGTATGCTCCGTAATTAATCTGAAAACACGGACAGTTTTGGTTTGCCCTATACGATGTGCTCGATCCATAGCTTGGAGATCAACTTGTGGATTCCAATCTGAGTCATATATTATAACTACATCAGCCGTAGCCAGATTAATACCTAAGCCTCCAGCTCTTGTGGATAGCATAAACAAAAACTTTGTCGAACCTGGACGGTTGTATTCATCAATTGAAACCTAAAATTAGAAATATTTCATTTTGCGGAGGATGCATAAAAACGCAATAAAAAACAGTAACTAACATGCAGTGGTCGGTGAGTTTACGGTACTGATTTTAACAAGAACACGGCAGAGTATTGATATCAAGTTACTAGCAGCCAAATAGTGCAGCTGGAAAATTTTGACAAAGGTTAGTGTTCTAGGCACTGAGCTATAACTTATTCATGAGGGTTTACGATATTACCCAACTGACAGAGCAGAGTAGATGGAAGGAGGTTTAAACTCATGTCCTAATGGTTACTAATGGAAAGCACAGATTATGGCACAGCCCTTATTCTCACTCTGATCCAGAACAAGGAATAATACTCAGGTCGATTAACAGAAAAACAATAGTTAAGAGGGTTGTCCTTGTGTGGAGGATAGTTTTTAGTAAGAAGTCCACAGAAATAACTAGAAAGAATGTGATGTAACAGATACAGTAGTCACCACACACGACAATTTTCAATTAGGTTTTAAAGACACCGTTGGCTTAGTGAATTCATATATATTTGTAGGAAACAAGAGTATTTCGCTTTAGTACTTTTGTCTATGACTGGCTGCTATTAATTTCGTTATTAGTGCGATAGGTCGATTTACTAACAGGGAAATTATTTCAATCACCATACTGACCATTCTATGAGTATTTCGGGTATTGGTATAAATACTGTGTATTTTTAGTCTGCTGTTATCCACTGCTTTAGAGGAGAAAAAACTTTTCCGTCCTAATCATTATTTGTACTAGGTGATGACTGAAAATAAGATGGAAATCTGGACCGCGGCGATTAAAGTGACATAAAATTCTGGCCAGCAGTCGAACCTCGTAGCTCAGTTGGTAGAGCACCGGGTCGGTAACCCGGTGGTCGCTGGTTCGAATCCGGCTGCGGTCCAGATTTTCATCTCACCTTCAGTCATCACCCAGTACAAATACTAGTCTGCCAAACTACGGCTATTTCAGATAGTCAAATGCTAATCATTATGTGTGGGTAGTTATGACATTGAGTGCAATTCAGGATCATATCAATCAATAACATTTCTATAAAGTTTATTCCGGCATTTGGAAGCAATTGATCAAAACATACATCGATGTCTTTATAATATGACTACACACTAGAATTCAGTAATTTATCATGTACGTTACCTGTATTCAGAAGAACAGAAAACGGAAACTATAAATAAAGGTAGTATCAGACAACGTGCCATTATTTTTCAACAACCTCAGGCGAAAAGTATGGGATACTGGTCATTAAACTACAGTAGGAAAGCATATATCATGAACGCTACCATCCAGTTCTCGTACGATGACCATTCAGAACGAAGATACGAAACGTTACTGGTGCACATATAAGTTGTGTCAGCAAAATCAACGTGCAAGATAATTTAACCAAGTATACATATTACTTGCGTCCTCAAGACGATAGTAATCGGCAATTGAGGACTCTTGGTGATATGGCTGAATACTGGTCAAGGTGGCACAGATGTATTCACTTCTTTCCATCTCCTGAAGCTTGAGTATTTGCACTAACCGTTATCTTCAAATTGTTTATTCGCTGACACAACTTGTCTACTTTGATATGATTCTTCTTTTATCCATCTGTTCTTTGTATACTACTGTGAAGTGGGGCAACTTGGGCAAATGGACTTGTGTGGGAGGTTTTACGTTGGATTTGTCTGTCTATAAATATTAAATGAACATAAATTAAATGTAAATTCTTGAATATTAGGCTCGTAATCTTGTACTATTGTTGATTAAGATGGAATTCTAATATTCAACGCCGCAGAATGTTATTTTATAAGGGTGATTATGAATAAACCAGATGCCCGTTGTTGACAAAGTAGAAACAGCTCAGTGTGAATTTAAGTTACTTTTTTAACTAGGTATCAAAACACAATAGTTTACATGCGCTTTAATGATCATAGAATGTTTCAGTTGATTCTAAGAAAGAAAGACAAATCGCTAACCTGACGTTCTTCATGAGGCGTAGAACCATCTAATCTAAAATATTCATAACCGCGCCACAAGAAATAATCTTCTAGGATATCCATCATTCGTGTCATCTGAGAAAAAAGAAGGACTCGAGAACCTTGCTCTTTTAATTTCGGTAACAACTTATCCAGTAACATCAGCTTGCCACAATTATCAACAAGATGACGATCTGTAGTATATGGAGGACCAGGTTCCAAACCATCAAACAAGTAAGGATGATTACAGCATTTACGAAGCTGCATGAGAATATTCAGCAAACGAACACGATCCACTTTATTGCCCACTGAGTTCACTACGTCGATATCTTTCATCAAAATTTTGGTGTATAATTCACGTTGCATTTTGCTCAAACCAATATATATCTTGCATTCTTTTTTTGGTGGCAAACGCTTTTCAACATCTGCTTTAATTCTTCGCAATAGAAACGGTTTCAAAACTGCATGTAGACGCTTCACTAAGTTCTCTTCGTGTGTACTGCTTGTTTTAAACATATCGTCGAACATATCAGACGAAGAAAACACTTCTGGCATTAAAAAGTTAAGTAAAGCCCATAATTCGTGCAAATTATTTTGTAATGGTGTACCAGTGATCAGCAGACGGTTTTGAGAGGGGAAATCACGTACAATTTCCGATAGCTTAGACTTTTCATTTTTGATGCGGTGAGCTTCATCAATTATTAAATATACGTAGTGGAACTTCTTTAAAACAGCCTTCTCCTTGATACACATTTCATAACTTGTAACAATGACATCCCATTCTTTCCTCATAATTTCATTTTGTATTTTTTGACTCTATAAACAAAGGATAAATGAAAAAAATTAACATGTTTACTCTTTCATCCTGGTTCCCGATAAGCGAAACTGCTCGTAAAGAAGGAACCCATCGAACAAATTCATTCATCCAGTTTGAAAGTGTAGATTTGGGCACAATTACAATGTGAGGTCCAGACTTGTTTCGATAATGCTTCATATAACCGAGCAGTGATATTGTTTGCAAAGTTTTTCCCAAACCCATTTCGTCAGCTAAAATTCCATTAATGTTCTTAAGATGCAACTGAATCATCCAGTTAAGACCGCGAACTTGATAATCCCGCATTTCTCCACCCTTCACGTCTAAATTGAGAAAATAGGAGTAAAGTCACGTAACTTACACCATGGAGATGACTCGAATCGCTGAACAGCAGATACATCAAGCTTAGTCTCCGTCAACAATTCTTCATCTTCTTCTTTTTCTGTACGTCGATGTCGGTGACTGAATAAAAAGTATTAAACCATAAAGTCAACTTACTCTCCAATAGAATTAGCTGTAGGCGAAGTAACTAAAAGTTCCGGTTTGATCTGAGACGGGCTGGTCAAATCTTTTATTCCTGCACCAATGTATTTGATCTTGCTATAGAGTTCTGCTTTTTCAACCAATAAATCAAGCTTTTGAAGAGCTCCCTAAAAATAAAGTTCTTTCAGATGCAGTTGTTTACTGTACACAAAACTAGAGTAAAACGTCTGGATAAGGAACGATACTGACTAGTTTTAAATCGCAGTAGAAAACATTGCAAAAATGTACAAATTACCAGATTTCTTAACAACACAGGTTTATAAGAAAGCTTGAACTTAGGTCATATCATACATATTTTCTTCACGCACCCTGAAGTCATAAGCAATGCAGTTTGTGAGGTATCATCACATCTTAGTTTGTCTCTTTAAGCTCTTTCATCGAAAATTTATTGAATGTAACAATATAACTGCAGATAAGCTTGCCTCATCCACTGTAGTTACAACAACTACTGAAGCAGTGGGTAGTATTCCAAACAGCCCTTTCTTTCATTAACTAGGACGACTCATAGAAGTAACTACTTTAATATTTGCAGACTGTCAGCTACATTTATTGTATGGAAGCTAGTCACCCAAACCTTGGTAGATAGGGTGAATTTCCAAAATAAGATTCACTAGTTAGAATCTAAGTTTCTAAACTTGATTTACAGCTCCACAAAGTCTCAGAGAGAATTTAAAGTTTCGTAACGAATACCTTATTGCTGCTTTACTGCATCAAGAAGAATAAAGTACACACATTGATGGGGAAAATTATTGATCTGTCCAGTTTAATGTTGGTTTAGAATATAAATGTAGACGCTTGAGATTTGGACACATCAATGGAATACTTTAAGACGTGTTTGAAGATATACTGAGTGACTGACTGGTAAACATATATAAATTTCTTTCTAACTTCCGAGGGAGATATTCATCATCATTATCAACATAGGACCAGGCATTACTGCGTAACGGTCCGAGTTGCCACACCTCATATCAGCACATCAAGTAAAAAGGTAGTGAGGTGAAGGATGAAGATAAGTGGATGCAGTCAAAAGAAATATAAAGTACGAGAAAAAAGGAAAGAGGTGTGACAAAATGGTGAGATTCGGTATAACGTTGTTAAGATGAGGATAATGTGTGTATACATCTGCGCCACTGACATCGGTTCTGAGCCATATCACCTAGGGTCTCCAACCACTGGTTTCTCTTGTCCCGTGGACCCCAACCACCTAGTCTGCATCGCCCTACATGGCTTAAACCAACAGTTAGAGACTTCATACATTGGTGCCATGTTTTAGTCTGGCCACCTTGGGCCTTTTTCCAACCTGGACCCACCTCAGCCAACATTGTGTGACAAGGCAATCGGTGACTGGGCATACGTAGTACGTATCCCAACCATCTCAGTCGATGAAGGTTCACAACCTCGTCAACTGACTTACCTCTTCTCCCCACAACTCTACACCTAACTTCTGCATTACTCACATGGTGACACCACGGAATACGTCCTATACTACGAAGGCAACGGTGGTCAAACACCTGAAGCCTTTTTATATCTTCCACTTTCAATGGCCATGTTTCACAGCCATACAGTAGAACAGAGCGGACTGCTGTGCAGTACACGCGACCCTTAATAGACAAACGGATATCACGGCGGCGCCATAGGTGGCGCAAATTGGCAAAAGTCAATCGAGCCTTTTGTATTCGTGCAGAAATCTCATCGGCAACTAACCCACCGGGGTTGATCCTACTTCCCAGGTAAGTGAAGTGGTCAACACACTCAACCACTTCACTCTCTATTGTTAGCCGCGGTACCGCTGAAGACCAGTCCTGGAGCAGAAATTTGCATTTGGGTGGTGAAAATCGCATCCCAAATATTCCCAAATTCCCACTAAGTGTTCAGAAGACTCTGCATCTTGTCAGCGTCTTCACCCAACAGGACTGTCATATGCATATTCTAGATCTAAAGAAAATTCACCTGTGATCGGGTCAACGTCTGTGTAATTAGGTGACGAGAGGGAAACCTCCATAAGAATATCTATGATAAAATTAAATAAGAATGGGGATAGTGGGCATCCTTGACGGACACCACTTGATGAGTATAGCTCCCTGGACAACTCGCCATAGGGAGATATTTCCTACGCTGTTTTCCTCGGACGTTTTATAAAAACATATATAGTTGAAAGTAAACTACCGGCTTATGAGCTAACCACTACGCTATAGATGTAGAAATGCCTCTTTACTAGATTCCCAGACGGTGACGTGATTTTAGAACTGGTACTTTCACAGTTCTGAAGCAAGTAACTCGGATGCTAGGGCATTCTGCTAAGGTGAGGAGTGATTTTAGTTTTTAAATAACCATCGTAATAAGAACTAGTTTCAAACTAAGTACCTATACAGAATTTTCAATTTGACGTTTATTCATGTTTAAAAACATGAAAAACACCACGACACCTTTACAGAGGTTTTTGATACAATGAGCTGTGAAGTCTGCGTAACATATAACTCATAAGTACAACTCGCCAACTACTTATACGTCAAATACTACACTATGAGCCATATATATTTTGGGACTTAGTGATACTTCCTGAATGACCGAATCCCATTGTGTTAAACTAAGTTAAAGCTCAGTACTTCGACTGGTTAAGAGTCGTCTCTACGAAAAATAACGGCTCCCGTCATGTTTTTTTTGTGGTGTTTACCATCTGAAAGCATTAGCCTCAGTTTTGAAGATATCAACGATAAAAAATAAATGTTTTAGTACACTATTCTATATCCTTCATCAACGTCGTCATTAAAGCTGATGTTCGGTGTTGTAATGACAGAATAGATGGTTGGTTTGGAATTTACATGAAGCAACTGTTTTTCTTTCAAATGTAAGGTTTGCCATTGTGATGCATATGAGAAAAGAGATAAAGATGAAGAAAAGCTGATGACATCAATATTATAATAAGTTGATAAAACAACCTGGAAATCGACTAGCTGAAAAAGCATGGAGCAATAAATAAGGATATGCATTTTGATTCAATAAAAAGGATAGAGATCTTGGTACACATACCTGGAAATTATCCGACTGTGCTGTAGGGTTTGATTCTTGTGTTGACTCCATCTAGGTGATAAAAACAGTGAGAATATTCATACATAAAAAAGATAATGTTACACTGGTGAGAGATCATGAAGATAATGGCACTGGGAAAAGTTGAAAGATGGATATTCATGATAAATGAACTGACGTAGTTTGCCATAATGTTTTCAAGTTAGATGAAACGTTATCATCAAACTATAAGATCTGGTCATATTCGCCGGTTCTGCTAGTTGACCACAAAGGTTTAGAACACCAACATTCGAGTCTTTTTCGAAGATTATTCGCTATTTCACTCATATTCCCGTTTATATTTAACTTGCTTTTAAACTAATTTCCTAACAATATCTCCAACTTTTACATCCACAAAAGGCGATTCCTGATCCTCTGAAACAAATTTCCGAAGTCAATATTTTTGCTCTAAATGTTTTCACTCTTTACCAGTTCAAACAACAGCTCTACAATCTTAGGTGGTGAATATATGCTGTGTTTCCGAGTGTAGTTACTGGCTCAATATCACCTGGAAATTTTGGAGAATCTGCAGAATTTACACCTCAGAATTCTCAGGGTACGGTTGGTGTACGCATGAGGGTTTCTGTGGAAACAGCAGAATTATTTAAGTGTACCTTCATAGTAACCTTAAGTCAGCACCAGGATATTGTTATGCTGAAACATCTATATTTGAGAGACCACGGTTAAATGAGCCTCTTATCATTTGACTATTTATCCGTAGATGAGGCTGAATAGTGGGCGTCATGGATAAATCAACTAGACATACCTACTTCTTGGTCTGTAATTTTATTTGTGAAACCAGTAATAGGCATGTCTTCCATGTTATTAGGTGCAGGTTGTGATTGAAATTTATAAATGAGACGTTAGCATGATGTTAAATGCTCAAGGATTTTAGTACTTCTATATGAAGTATGCGCTCTTATAGATTTACCAGGTCATAGGAAGAGTTTGGGACGCCTGACGTAATTAAACTTGGAAAGTGGACAAGAGGAATCACTTGACATCTTCCTTAGTCTAACAACATGATATGCCTGTAGGCGTAAGTCTTCCAAGTAATGTACTGGAACATGGTCAGGGAGATTGTTCACCAAAGCATTGCAAGACGAAATAATCCTTTAATGACTTCTGCAGAGCCCTGAATCAAACCCCAACACTTATGTAAGCTCTCAAAGTTAGCACAAGTATTTTCATCCCAGACATGAAAATAGAGCATATTTTTCTAAACTGATATTAATATCTACCATTTTTGATGCCAATGTCACTGACTAATTCTGACATTGGGGTTGGGAACCACTACCTCAGGAATACCTTTAGAAAGTAGTTTAGAATCAACCAACAGTTTGTGTTTCTTGGCTGAGCGGTACGAGTTCGGTATAAGCCTTCTAAATGCACATAAAAGTTTATTCGATTTAACCACTCCGATGACTGTAAAACAGAACTCCAGAAGAATACTGAAAAAATAAACCTTGTTCTAATGTAAATGCCGTACGAAGAAAAGCAGTGTCAAAACAGCTTACTTGAATGCTGAGTTTTGTCATCTGATTTCTCTGATTAGGAAAAAGGATTTTATACATTACACTACTTTGCATTACAATTTTACAATTCAGCAGAGTTAAGCTATATAACCTGTTGTGTAGGAAAGAGTGACGAGTACGTAACTTTTAGGTGACCACTAACTGGGTGATCTTTTGTTCTTACACTCATGAATCTAGAACTCAGAAGCTACCGTGTGAAATATAGGTTGAGCGCTACACTGTGAGGTCGCACCTTATAGAATTTTTAGATGTTATGCACGGTTTTAGAGGATTGTGCCCAACTCAAAAGTAAGGGCTCCGTATACATATTATTCTCAATCCCCGCCAAACTAGAAACGGAAGATGTAGTTCCCAGTAGCAACATACAGCGATAGAAAAAGATGCTATTGCTTTTGTAACTATTGGCTAGATTAGTTGCACTCTTGTAATGTCTGACAATAAATGCAAATAACTACCGTTATTAGTTAGCTTGATCTAAATACGATAATGATTTAAGAGAATAATCACTTGTATGTTGCATACACGTTTATGCAGTCTTAATCTTTCATCTGGGAAGATATATTCATTAGTTGAAGCTACCCGTAACCTTGATTGTCACCGAAACTACACATTAGAGCTCTCAATGATCGCACTCTGCGTTAAATTGGCTAATAAACTTTGATACCCAAAACTCTAGCACATCAGAATGTGGACGCATACTGTGTTTGACACACGCATAAATGACCCAGGTGTGGTTTTTCATTTCATTTTACTTAGGCAATATGGTGAGTCTATAAAATTCCCTCTTCGATTTTTCGGATATTCTTTGTCTTGTGAAAAGATGAATGCACTCATAAACCACATGTACCTTCGTGCAGTGGTCAATGGACCACACCTTTTGTGTGAAAACCTATGATACTAACTGGTTGCCCTAATTCTCTCAGCTGGAGCGAGAGCTGAACCTGACCAATGGTTGATGTCGATTATTTATCCCGATGAGTTAGCTCCACTTATAGCATTGCCAATGTACGTATATCATGAAATCCCAAGGTAGAAAGTGCACTGCTCAACGGGATCCAACTTAACAGTCACTTGTGCCATTTGACTGAAAGGCGAAGTGGCGACTAAAAAAACCAGTGACACTGCTGATTGTTTGTAACTCCTCCTTACGCATTACTGGCTACAATTCAGACGAAATAAAGGACTAGTTCTACCGAAAACTGTCTACTTACCTACTGAAAGTCAAACGCTTAGATTCCGTCCTTGCAGCAAGTTACCTCGGTGTACAGTGGGTAAGTCAGGCAGAAGGGCACTTTTACAGTAGTAGTGGAACAAACTGATGATACCGATCACCACCATCACTATGCTCAAACAACCACCTATTTCTGCAAAGCACTCAATTCTTCCAACAAGAAAGACATTGCCACACGTCATATTTAATTATATCAACTCATCATTAACACACAACCCTCCATTACAGCGTAACGGTCCGAGTTACCACACCTCATATCATTACAAGTAAAAAGGCAGTGAAGTGCAAGATGAACAAAATAAAACTCAGTCAAAAGAAATATAAAGTACGAAAAGAGAGAAATGAAGAATGAGAAAATGGTGAGATTCAGCATAGCGTCGTTAAGATGAGGATAGTGTATGTATACATCTGCGCCACTGACTGGTCTTGAGCCATATCACCCAGAGTCTCCAACCACTGGTTCCTCTTGTCCCGCGAACCCCGGCCGCCTAGTCTGCATCTCCCCACATAACTCAAACCAACAGTCAAAGACTTCATACATTCTTGCCATGTTTTAGTCTGGCCACCTCGAGCCTTTTTCCAACCTGAACCTACTTCGCCCAACATTGTGTGACGAGATAGACGGCAACTAGACATAAGTAACACGTATCCCAACCATCCTTGTCGATGAAGGTTCACGACCATGTCAACTGATTCACCTCTTCTCCCCACAACTCTACACCTAACTTCTGCATTATTCACCTGGTGACACCACGCAATAAGGCCTATACTTCGGAGGCACAATGTACTCAAACATCTGAAGCCTTCTCATGTCTTTCGCCCTCAATTGCCATGCTTCACAGCCACACAGCACAACAGACTGGACTGATGTGTAGTACACACGGCCCTTAGTAGACAATCGGATATCACGGTGGCGCCACAGGTGGCGTGAGATGGCAAAATCCAGTCAAGCCTTTTGTATTCGTGCAGAAATTTCGTCGGCCACTGAGCCACCAGGGCAGGGCTGATCCCACTTCCCAGGTAAGTGAAGTGGTCGACACACTCAACCACTACACTATTCTTAGCCGAGGCACTGTTGAAGACCAATCCTGGAGCAACAATTTGCTTTTGGGTGGTGAAAAACGCATCCCAAACATTCTCAAATCACCATTCAAAGTGTTCAGACAACTCTGCATCTTGCCAGTGTCTTCACCTAACAGGACTATGTCATCTGCGTATTCTAGGTCTAACTAAAATTCTCCTGCGATTAGGTCAATCTCTGTGTAGTCAGCTGATCAGAGGGAGACCTGCATAAGAATACCTATGATAAAATTGAATAAGAATGGAGATAGTGGGCACCCTTGACGGACACCACTCGAGGAGCACAGTTCACCCGGACATCTCACCATAGGCTCTACCATGTCCACAAGTGTTCGAGTTGAGAGTCTTCAATAAAATGATGTACTTACTCGTCACGCCTATCAGTGAGAGACATTGCCATAAGACTTCTCGATCAGTGGAGTCGAATGCCGTCACCTTCAGGTCAAGAAACACAGCTAGTGTCAGGCGTCGGTAAGCCCGCCTGTGTTCCAGAGCCTGGCGCAGTGTGAATATTTCGTCAATACACCTGTGGCCGGGTCTAAGGCCTGCCTGGTTTGCTCAGACTTGCTGTTCCCGAGCTCCACTCAGGCGTCGAAGAATTATGGAACCTAGAATCTTAGACACTATGCTCGTCAGGCTGATTCCTCTGTGGTTATCACAAGAGGACTCCTCGCTTTTCTTGAAGACTGAGATGATCAGTGATTTAGACCAGTCGGAGAGGATCGTATTTGACTCCCATATACTGGTTAACACTGCCGTTAACATGATTAAGAGCGCCTACCTTACCACCATCGTTGCATACCTCAGGAGTTAGTCCATCTGGTCCTGCCGCCCTTCCTCGTTCCAAGTTACCTACTGCTTTCTCGACTTCTGCAAGTGTTGGAGGGTCTGTTTCAATATTCCATTCAGTATCCGACTGAATAGCGGGCAATGCAATGGTGGTTGGAGTCCAGTTAAACTGTTCCTCGAAGTGTTCTGCCCATCGTTCCAGTCGTCTCCCATACAAGTGGACCACAGATCCGTCCTCCTCCGCTATAGCCTCACTAACCGTTGTTGACCTTTTCCCCCCAGTTTCCTTAATAAGTCTAAATAACTGCCTACTGTTACCAATCGCCACTGTCTTTTCCATCTCTTTAGACTTCCTTGCCCACCACTGTTCGCGGTCGTTGCATAGACTTTTTCGCAGTCTACTTTTAAGTTGTGCTCGCTCTTCATCGTACTCAGAGTTTGCAGGGATGCGTTCACGTGCATCCATTAGTTCGGAAGAAGCTGCTGATATCCATTGGCTCTTTAAGCCACTCATTTGGAGTCGGCTACAGTCTTCAGTGCTGCTTTTACAGCAGACTGGAGATGGCACAAAGCTTCTTCTAGATGAGTGGTAGTCTTCTGTTCCGATAACTGCTTAGGCAACTTCTCACTGAAAGCGGCTTTAGTGTATTGGTTGTCGAGCTGAACTCAGTGGTTTTGTTGCTAAATATTTCCTACGTCCATTGAGACGCAGGCATATACGCGCTCGGACCAACGCACGGTCGCTATCCAAACATGTACTCCAGAAGGAGCTGCAGTCTTTCACCGATCCTCTGCAGCGACGACTAATAGCATTGTGGTCCATCTGTATCCATTTCTGAGTTGAGCTCGGTGGACGTCACATCAGGTAGTGTCTTTCTTTGTGTCTGAAATTTGTGCTAGCTGAAAATAAGCGGTTTTCTGAGCATAGTTGTAGTAGGCGATCACCGTTATCTGTCCGTTCAGCCGTGATTCCGAAAGTGCCACTTAGTGTCTTTGTGCCTCACTCAGTCTACTCACCTGTGCATTGAAATCACCTGCGACAACCACCACGTCCGAACGTTTGGCTTTCGAGAGGAGGCTAGACAGTTTACGGTAGAACTCATCCCTTACTTCATTCGAACTGTAGTCGGTGGGTGCGTAAGCAGATATTACAAAGAGACGACGGCCAGTTTCACTATTCCTTTTAGTTCTCACTGTGCCGTCCAGCCGGATAGCGCAGAGGCGACTACCAACTGGGATCCAGTCTACTAGTGAGCTTTCTGCCCTAGTGCTTAACGCTACGCCTACACCTGCAAGACTACGAGAGCTAGCCATCGAATCTCCAGAAACTCGAAGGATGAATTTTGCGCATTCACCAGATTGGCCGGGATAGGTTAGGTGAATAACCGCACTTGGGTCCTGTACACAAGTCTCACAAACACAGCACACATAAATGGTCCGAGTTGCTAGAGTTTTGGCCAATGAAACCTGTTGACCAATTGGACGGAGGGTGCGGACATTGAAGGCCCCGATGTGCAATTTGGAGCGTAATTTTAGGAGGCCAGGGATGCTGTTCTGTGGATTCAGATCGTTGTCGAAGGCTGCAGAGCTGGGAGAAATTGAGAGACATGAAGGAATATTAGAAGGGAAGTGGGTAGTAGTCTGGAGAAACGAGTGCTGACAGAGGTGTGAGGGTGGTTGGCACTTCCCGGCTCCCCACACCGTGGAAGGTTATTTCTTCTTAAGGTGCCTGAAAGAGATTTGTGTGATCGTAGAGCTCATCGGATACCTGCTTGAGGTCTGTCACACGCAGCCTTTTGTGCATGGTTATTTTGAACTTTTGTTGTTTTGGGGCCGGATGATAGGAAAGAAATGACAAGTGAACCAACACCGCCGGCCCGGCAGACCGTGGGGTATGATGGAGCGTGTTATTTTTGGGGTCGACCTTTTCTAACCCCCGCCCTTCCACTGAGAAGGCAGCGCCAGCATGGCACTACTGGTCATCCAAGGGAAACACCTTACTGCTGTCACACCCCATCCAGCCAGCAGCAGTACGACTTCACCCTCAGGCCTCCATCATAGTGTAGTAATTTACACCACAACGGTAACTGCTTTTCGTCTAATCACTATCCAGCAGACCTTTCTGGTATGGTAGGATCTCGAGGAACAAGTATTTCACCAGCATAACTCGTTGGGTTATTGTGATATGCAAGCCCGACCACCACGTCAAGGTAGCAGCTATCGGTCGGGTCTCAACTCAAGGTAGACAGAGTATTTTAATCTCGGTTTTCGCTGGAGAGGATTGGTGCTTCTTATGGAACGTGTTTGGACAGTGATCACATATTAGCTGGGGCATGCTTATGTCCGCACCTAGGTGGATGTGGATAAACTACGGCTAGAAAACTATCTTTAGTGCAGCTCAATGACGACAATACTGAGGCTGCTTTTAGAGAAGAGCAGGCTAGACAGCCATCGGAACAGGACCACTTGAACTGAAGAAGTTGTGGCATCATCTCTAGTCCGCTGCAGAAACAGCATCAAGGATTGTAACTGACTCTCAGGAAAGGGTCAGAAAGCGCCAGCGAGTCTAACTAGCATTTTTTGTATGATTAAGCACATGTGAGATAATTGCTACATGCTGTAAACACAATGACGAGTGGAGGCCATTTGAATGTAAATCGATAGCCAGCCTATGCATTAAACGTGAGCAGTGGTAAGCAGAGAAGGTAAAAAAAGATGGAAACTGCAGTGGTGACAGGTAACAGTAGACAGTTAATTAGACTGACCAAGGAAACGGCCGAAAAGGGCAATGATTCGTGAGACTATGACACATAAGGATGGATCCTTGATTTGCTCGCAGAGGAGAAACAAAGAACACTTTGAGGAACAGTTTAACTAGCCTACAGTCACCATTTCACCGCCTGTTATCCAGTCAAGTACTCAAATGAACACAAAGATACGCCCTCCAACTATTGCAAAACTTGGAAAGACTAAGCAATCTAAAACGAGGAAAGTAGGACTGGATAAGCTACTTAGTGCTAGAGGCATTCACGGACGTCGGTGGGATGTTATTCGTTGAGTCAACCCAGTTGTTGCCTAGGATGTGGGAATCAGATACGGTCGCCTTTGACCGTTCTCAAACCTTTGTTTTCCCAGTCTCCAAGACGGGAAAAGATCATCAGACGCCTCAGTGATGCATAGGTACAGTAGACGCGGGGAGATAGAACAAGTCCCACGTGTAGTCAGTGGTGTAACGACCAACTATTCACTCTCCACTAGGTTCCGAAACACAGGTATATTTACCCGTGTGTAACATTAGCTTTACCTGCAGACTCCATTTGGCCCCACTGAACGAGGAGTTTTGTGGGTGCTTCTCACTAAAAGCGTTGCCACGCAAACACATCACTGTTGAAAGTTTTGAATGCGAAACAACCATGAAGTGTTACAGCCACATTCGAGGTATCAGGTGAGTTTCGTAAGTCCAGGATGTCTATTCTGTTCAGTGTTGCTTAATTTTAATAGATGTACTTTTCCTTAGGGGGGGGGTATCCTTAGGGAACCAATAGTACGCACATGAAACAACCTACTGGGTGAAGATGCTGACAAGATGCAGTCTTCTGACACCTCTAGCGGCAATTTCAAAATGTTTGGGATGCACTTTTTACCACCCAAATGCAAATTGTTTGCGACATTTTCCTTACGTTTGTTACTATTTTCCTAGGCTCTGCGTTTCGCCTCATGTCTAGCACATTTAACTTTGTCTGAACTTCAGCTTAAGCAGTTGGCCCAATGTGTGTAACATCTTCCACAGTGGTCCTACATCCGACTCCATGTACACTACATCTGGCTCTGCATACTGTTAAGGGCCCAAGACTGGGCTGAACTTGGCCAAACGACTATGCTAACTGGGTCAATACATTAGAAAATTAACGAGTGATGAGCCGCCTTCTGATTATCCCTTCAGAAACGACAGAATTCCTTAGCTTCCACCACCTATTGCGATTGTAAAAACACAAGGTGAGAGACGGAAATGCGAAGAAGCTAATGGGCTAAGTGGAACCAGTGATTTGCATATAATTCTATTCTACTGTTTGTTCATATAAACACATGGTTTCTTATTGACCAGTAGGTAAAACGTGCACATTTATATAATATAATTAGTCGTAAAGAGATGCATAATAATATATTACTACAAAACTGATTACTTCTAACTCCCAGAACACGTTACCGCAAAGTAACGAAGTAAAGACAACCAACCCGCCAATCAAACCCGAATTAGTTTGTTGGCGCTGGCTTAACGTTTGTGAACTTAAACACGAATTTTCTCACTTTTATTTTCATTGCAACAACAGTTGTGTTTTCTTGATTATTCTTTATGAGAGTTTCATCTGAAGTATGGTTATGGTATGAAAATGATCTTTTTTATAGTGGAACAAACCTCTAGCACCTTAAGGTTTGCCAAGTAACCTGTAAACTTTCACCTCTGCACATCTGCTTAGGAAATATTTTTCGCAGATAGGATGTACTCGTCAATTTTGACCAGTATACGCTGTCATTGCTTAACTGCTGAGATACGTCGACGATCTGGATGATTATAAGTCACGGAAATAGATTCATTGTACATATATGAGACTTTAGAGTGCGAGATCATGGAGGAACACGGAGTTTGTTGCCTGAAAACCCATATATTTTTCATATTGAACCAAGAGAGAAGGAACCATGGTCTGACTGCCTAGAGGATAGGTAAGGCTCAGTGCGATGTCGTAAAGTGAGCCAAGCAGTGAGGCTGCTCAACTGTTTGTATTCTGTTAAAGCCTTACTTCTCGTGACCGCGGCGGTTAATTCTCATGTAGAATCCTATACGAATGATTTATCCTCAACCGCAGCACAAAATGTTTTTTATCAGATCATCAAATGCCTGAGGTAGTACGAATAGAATAACGGTGGAAAAAATATGTGAATACGCGGGTATCTAAAATTTGAAAGTCATAAGGAAGCATGAGGTGAAGTGGGCTGAATGACTCAGAGGTTAAGAGAGTAGTTGTGGGTGTGAATACTAGCGGGTTACTCGTCGGACCCATTAATGTACTGTTTCACATAGCATGAGACACATGAATTATTTGCAATTTCCACAGGTATGCCAAGGTTTTTGACGGAGTTAAATGCGCAGGAGTTAGAGGATATAATACAGCGATCTCCACCGAATCGCCTCAAAAATCGTATGCTGGGCGAAGTCTAGACGCAATATTTATTAAGATCTCGCTCAAGAATTCATTGACGTTCATTCAAAATAAGGTCGTGACTTGCCAACTTTAAGTTCTGAGAAAGAGAGCACCTATAGGTTTTGAGTCATATTCATGGGATGCCAATGAAAATTTCGAGACAAAATTTAGACACTTACTCCACGTGGGTGGCTGTCTTTCTCCATTTTCATAGAGCCGACAGAGGTGAGAGAAGAATGCAAATTATAGATGGATGCCTCCGATAATTGTGACATTTTATTCACCTATAGGCAATTTTACTTGAGAGATGAAGGCCGGCAGGCATCACCGGGTCAAATAATTCAAATGGTGTACAGTTTATGCTTAGTTAGTATTTGACAGAAATAGTCGTTCTTGCTAAAGGCTTGATAGCAACAAGGGCAAAATAACAGCAAACAAAAGAGCGTAGGGGTATCCAGATAGTATCTAAAACTAGCAAAATGGAGTGCAGTTTAGACGTTCAGAAACGAGGAAATGTCCGAAGAGAAGTGAAATGTTTCACGTCACGTAAGATTAGGAAATCTGCATTGTTCTGACCTTGGCAAGTTCGAAGCTTGCTTCACTTCCCACGCTGTCAACCCAAGATTTACTGTACGGGTTCGTGGTGCCCTTTGATACGCCGCGGCACAAATTTAACTGGCCCCTTACAAGTTATGTTCTGAAGAAGCATTTCCTTAGCGAAATACGTTTACAGTAATGTAGCAGGAGGCAAGAGACGAAAACGTCTCAAATTGATGTATAAATCTCCAGTGTTCTTCTGTTTGTCCATCGGAAGAGCACAATTCTACTCTCAGCAGCTTAAGACTGACATTGATAGACGACAACGTTACACCTGTCTTCTTGTTCTCTGTGCTATCTGACTGATTAGTGCTTTTGGGAGCACATTTCATTTTAAGCTCAGTGTACGGATGAAACGAATTATACCATTTTACATCATCGTCTCAGCAGGGAGCTTCACTCTTATTCTCTTTCAAATTTAACAAGCCCATTTCCCTTAGCTAGTAGTATTTCTTTCTTTTATCCATCTTGAAACTCACTAAGCTCAGCCTTCTGCCTTTCCCTTAATTGACCTGCCTTTAGTTCAGCTGAGGTCATTCTGGAACCAATTTTACTATGGTGACCAAGTATACCAATACTAGATCCATGACATGAAGCTGGATCGAAACTGACCCGCTGCGTACCCGGGAGTTTGTCCCTTGGCATTTCACCTTCGTTGTCCTGGGCGGATTTCAACGCCAGTTTCTAAGTGCGTTTGACGGGTACAGCAACGTACCCGCAAGTTGACTACCACAGAGAACAAAAACCAAACATCTCAGTTTGAACACATGGGACGATACAATGAAGCCAAACTAAAAAGGTCCAGACAAGTAACTCCGTTCTCCTACGTGGTTTTTCAATCATTCTTGAGTCACTCACTGACAAAGATTGCATTTCAACAACGTCAAAACATGAATTGACGCAATAAATCTGTGGTACCATTGAACAACAGCAGGTTACGATCACGACAAGATTACAAACGTATCTCAGCAATGGCTCTCGGCAGCTATCCAGTTCAAAAATTTCTGTGGTACAGAATGAATGACTAACTGAATACTATAGTCAAACACTTGAAAATCAACACTAATACTTCTAAAAACACTGGGCCAAAACTTTGTCAGAAGGAGTCGAATCAAGCAACAAGCGTTTCGAGTAGATAGTCAAGGGACACGAAGTCACTCTACAGAGCAAACTTTGGTTCGGCTGAACAAATGGTAAAATATCCTTGTTGTCCACAGTCCTGTATCACGCAGTAACAAAGCGGATCATCAAGCATAAATCTTCACCAGAAAGAAGGCAAGTGATGAGTTGAGTCGAAGAAGGGGGCGAATGTCAAAGTGATAACACACAGCTCAAGGGTGAAAGACGGTATTCGCAAGGTGAGCAGAAACAAACATTAGTACTGCGGAATGCGGCCCCCATGAAAGATTTTCAAATTTTCCATTCTATTTCAGCCCAGAAAACGAAGCGCTCGAAATACTACCCCTATCTGGTCCTATCAGGAGCGGTTACCGCCCATGAAAAGTGTGCGACATCTCATGGCTCAACTCGAGTTAAGTTAGAAGTTGTCTCCAGGTATTTTAGAGCCTTGCGAAAAATAAGTGTTCCCTGTGTTACGTATGTATATATTCTGAAGTGAAAACCGCAGTAATAAACCCTTTTCGCTCTAAGTTGCAGCCTCAATTTACTCACTGTGATCTGTGAGAACCGTTCACGCTGAATAACTGTACCTGCTTTCCTCCTAGGAAGTGAACTTCTTAGCAGGGAAAACCAAGAGAGGAGGCCGTCTGGAAGAAATGACTGAGTCCTTGTTGTGATAAACCTAAATAGTTTTAAAGTCTTATAATTAGTATATACTTCGCATGAAATTTCACTTTCTTGCATTGATGGCACCTATGGATTCTTGTAGGTCATGGCCAGTTGAAGGACATACAGTTTTCCATCCGTGACTTTGCATATGTAGTCGAGAATAAATAAAGTAACTGGCAACATTAAGTAGTCCCTCTGGAGTAAAGAAGTGTAGGGCGGACCGTTGAAAAAAGGGGAAACAGCAGTAAAGACATAAGGCTGAATGAATTAAGATGCTGGGCTAGGCCAAGAAAACGTGGGGAGATTCGCCGGAAGTAGGAAGGCAGGACTCAGGGGCGTGAAAACTGGTTGAAATTTTACAAAATCACGCGTTTCGCCTTATGTTTTGCCCGAGTTTTCATTTCAATATACAACATGCCCCTTCGTTCTGTCCCGAGTAAATGCTGGGTGGGTGGACGTGCACCTACTCTATGTATGACCAAACAGCGCAAGGTGCGGTCTGATGGCAGATGACACTGTAAAAGCTATGCAAATGGGTGAAATATCCGTACGGAATACATAAAACACGCGCCCTTCCACAAAAAGCGCTACAACCTGTGACAACCTCGATAAAACCAAGGAACAACTACTTAGCCCCAAGTTTGTTTTTAGAACCTGGGACTTTTTCAAGGCCATGATCTCGGATGCGGTGTATTGAATATGTTTGGGATAGTAGGTCTTTTATGGAGTCATTTGCTTCAGATGTATGGTAGGTATCTCAAGTGAACTGTGAGATCTGGTTGTCGCAAGTCACGCGTGGAGTTCGGAAATAGGACCAGCACTTTTTGGCTCGTGGAAGTATTGACATCATGACCTTAGACGTGGCGTCAGAGGCCCCAGCAGCCTGCCAGAGGAGAAGGCTGGTACAGGATTGCCAATGAACATTTGCAAAACTGCTCCGATTGTCGAGTCAGACGCACTATCAACAATACTCGAAGTAGCACTGTCGTCTTGATGCATAAGCACTGTTGCGTTTTCGATGGCTTCCTTGGACTTGGACAAGGCAAGTTTAGTCAAGTTGTCTGGAGTCAGACGGTTTGTATTCTCTTCGAGCAGAAATCTCAGTGCTCTCGCTGCGGAAGCACAGTCAGGGATAAGCCTCCTGTAAGACTTTGCCAAGCCGTTCAGGGTGTAAATTCGGTTTACGTTGGTCAGTTACGGACTGTCTACAATAGGCGTTACCCTGTTTGTCAATGGACGCTCGCCTTCATTACTGATAGCATGGCCGAGGAAATCAGGTTGATTGACTTTTATACGACGTTTCCAGATGCTTCCTGTGATTTTCCTCCTCTGTATTCGTCAGCGTAAACACGAACGAAATGTAATCCATGGAAGACATCATTCATGAGGCTTTGGAATCTCTTTGTGCATTCCAGAGACCAAAAAGCATGCCCATAAATTCACACGACCTAAAGAGCTTCATGGTAGCTATTACCTAGATATCCTCTGGTTCAGTGGGTGTCCGGCTGTGTCCTTTTGCCAGGTCAATCGTTGAAAGTATGTTCGTTTCGCATAAAGCGTCCACCGATGCGTGGACGTGAGCTGTTGGGTAGCAGTCAGGAGTCGTTTTGTCGTTAGACCATAGGTAATCACCATCTGGGTACCATTCCCTGCTGTCCTTTTCGGTGCCATATATAACGGTGGCG